GATTTGAGGATCATCTGATCCAATTTTGATGAACATTACTCAGAATCAGTACTATCGAGTTCACGGTTTTCACCATGATGTATTAAATCAGAAGGAAAAATTAGGTAAAAAGCTGAAATGTTAGTGAAGTTTTGAACTGTTGGTGGCGCTAGTGGTGTTTGACAGCTAAATATATCTTCCAGAAGAAAGAGCTGAGAGAAATGATTTCCAGAGCTGAAAGCCATTTGTAAGTGGCATCTATTTTAGAAGAAGATGATCAGATGAGAGTCTGACTGATGATTATATAAGACACTCATGAAATGTTTCTCTGTGAGTCTCTGTCACAGCAGGATCTTCTCAAGTCCACTATGATCCTGTTCTTCTAGACCTCTGTTACCTGCAGGAACTGGATGTGATCATGTGTGTGTAAAAACTGCTCCAGCTCAGCATCTCTCCTCCTCAGATCATTGATCTCCTGCTCCAGTCGTCCTTCAGCTCGACTCACTGCAGTCTTTTCCTGATCTCTGATCAGCTGTATCAGCTCAGAGCGGCTTCTCTCAGTGGAGCGGATGAGCTCAGTAAAGATCCTCTCACTGTCCTCCACTGCTGTCTGTGCAGAGCGCTGTTAGGACACACAGTGATTCAGGCTTCAGTGAGTCTGAACTGAGACTGAGACAAAATTATGTTCTTCTCCAGACTCACCTTATGAGACTCCACAGCCTCTCTCAGCTGCTGAAGATCTTTCTCTCTCTGCTGGATTCTCTGCTGGAACGTCTTCTGTGTCTTCTTCAGCTGCGTCTGCAGGACAAATGGATGATAGTTAATGTCACAGAAAACTACTGGCACTAAATCATCATGTGAACAGATTAATCCAGTAAAAGTGGAGCTGATAACTAATGGCTGTAGGTTCAATCTCCAGTAGTCATGATCAGTTACAAACATCGTATATGAATTATCATGACGCATAAGGAGTGTCAACAATGGATTGTCAGCAGTTTTATCAGTGTCTAGTTTTAAATACCTGTTTCTCTGTCCTCTGTGCTGCAGCTGATACAATTTTGTGTTTTTTATGTTCATACATCGTACACAGCACACATATACATTTCTGATCAGTGCGACAGAAAACCTCAAGGATCTTCTCATGTTTCTGGCAGATCATCTCCTGCAGTCGTCCAGTGGCATCAGTCACTTTGTGTCTCTTTCTTTTGAAGAAACTCTCATGTTGTTCGAGGTGATTCTGACAGTAAGAGTTCAGACAGATCAGACAGGACTTGACGGCTTTGTATTTTTGTCCAGTACAGACGTCACACTGCACATCTCCAGCTCCAGCTTCACAGTCAGCAGGACGTTTCCTCTTCTTTAATTTATTCACCATTTCAGCCAAGATGGTGTTTCTAGCTAAAGCAGGTCTTGGACTGAAGGTCTGTCTGCACTGAGGGCAGCTGTAGACTCTCATCTGATCCTCCTGATCCCAGCAGCATGTAATACAGCTCTTACAGTAACTGTGTCCACAGGGAATGGTCACTGGATCCTTCAGGAGATCCAGACACACTGGACACAAGAAATCCTTCTGATCCACTGAAATTCTGGCTTTTGCCATTCTACTGCATGAATAGACACAAACACACAACAGCTCAACTACACTTTCAGTTTCTCTTTCCCTGAAATCACGTGCTTCCTGGTTCTGTGTTTGAGTGCCGTGTGTGTCTGCAAGTCTATAAATCTGTTTCCTCATTCACAAAGACACACACACACACAGCTATGAAAAATGAGTCAGTTAATCACCTGAGTGAAACCATCAGCGTCGTTTTACAATGGGGTCTACAGCTTATGTGGAAAACAGAAATTATGCTTATAATTTGTGAACCCCCACTTTAAAAGAATGTACGGATGCATGTGGGGATTTGTTATTTTATTGTTTAATTTAATCTAATGTTATTTTTTTATTTACAACTGTTTGTGTACTTTGATTCAAGGGCATTGTGAATGATGCATAGCACATTTTGCTATGATCTCTGATCTGCTCGTTTTGTTTAATAAAGACCGGATCTTCATTTTATCACGCCTATGGTCTCGTATTTCAAGTGTGCAACAAATATTGGCGAGCTAGCAGCCAGGAGAGATCGCGGAGAAAAACTGTAATTTGAGACGGAAGAAAACAGCCGGAGCGGCACGAGGAAAACAGGCGGAGCGGAGGCGCGAGTGAGAGACGCAATCAAAAAAAAAAAAACATGGATCTAGAGGAAATGCAGGACAAATTCACAGAGAGTTTAATAGACCGATTTAAAGAGGTATGCTTATTCATGAAAATTCCTGTAGAGGAAGGAAAAAAGAGACGTGCATTAATAAGACTGATGAGTGAAGCACTGGAGAAAATCGTCGAAGATGAGGAGGAAGATATAGCATGGCATTATCTCACAGAGTTGTTAGCTTTGTGCTGTGGGCTAAAAGACAAAGAAGGGGATGAACAAACTGTTGAACAGAGTTTGGAGGGTGGCATGACTGAACTACAGAGCCTGCAGAAGCAACACTCAGAACTGCAGATTAATTTCCAATCAGCCACTAAGCTTTTGGAAAATGAAATGAAACGTCTGAGCGACAAAGTGAACAGAAACAAAAACAGCCAGTCACAGCCACAACAAAATGTCTCCCCTGAGCAAAGAGTACCAATACAACCTCCAGAAGTGACAATACGACGTGAATTCAGAATTTGTGGCCAGATTGGCGAGAGAGGGCAGACAGACAAATTATCATACTTAAATCATGCATCATATAAATGTTGGTCTCAAAAAGGGACACAGTGAAACTGAAATCATAGAAGCAGTAGTGAAAGCAATTAGACCTGGCTTGAGTCTGAGAGACATGCTGGAAATCAAGAGTGGGTTGACTCTCTCACAACTAAAGACAATTTTGAGAGTCCACTTTAAAGAAGACAGCTCAACTGATCTGTACCACAGATTAGTTAATATTACCCAAGATGCTTGGAAATCTCCTCAGAATTTCCTGTTCAGAGTAACTGAACTAAAGGAAAGGCTCCTTGTAGCTGCTCGAGAAGTTGATTCAGATGAGCAGTACAGCCCAGAGCTAATTCAGAGGAAATTTTTGAGATCAGTGAGTACTGGACTACTAAGTGACCACATCAAATTCCAGCTGAAGAGTTGTCTGGATGATCAAAATGTTTCGGATGAAATTTTGATTGACAAGATGAACAAAGCAGCAAGTCTTGAATGGGAGAGACAACAAAAATTTAAAAGAATCACAAGTAGTAAAGGGGCGAAAGTAAATGAAATGCAAATGGAAGCTGGTGCTTCATTACAGGACACACTATTGAGAGCTGCAAGCTTAGCAGAAAAAGCAGCACCAACTAAAGTTAATGTCAAAAGTCAGAAAACAGTTGCAACACACAGAGAGGCTGAGTGGATGGAAGTAGTGAAGGAGTTGAGAGAGAAGATGGCTGAATTAAAGAGGATGGTCGCAGCACAAAGAAGGAGTGTAAGACCTGCCAGGAAAGTAGCATGGGTGAAACATGTGACCACTGCTTTAAATGTGGCCAACAGGGTCATTATTCCAAGGGCTGTTGGACGGCCAGAAAATCAGGGGGGAATGTCAACATAGCCAGTCACACGATAATTCACCTCTCCACAGAAATCCTGCAGCTTACTGAATCCAAGGAGATATCTACGATAGAACAGCTAAGTGCAATGACTGGGCTAGGCTCTATTTACATCAGCCACATCTCACCCAAACACCACTTAGAGCTGTTGGGCCTCATTTGGAAAAGATGTACGGTGAGTTATTACCTTGAAGACTTCGCAACCCAAGCCTTATGGGATACTGGGTAGTATCTGCCTTCTGAATGAGAGATGGAGGGCCGAACATATTCCCCACATAAAAGTCCAAAGCCTAGAAGAGATCCTGGGGTCCGGCACACTTGTGGGTAAAGCAGTTAACCAGACAACCATCCCATTCATAGGCTGAGTTGAAGTGAGATTCCAGCTAGGCACAGATACCATAGCCCCGTTAGAGCTCAAGATTCCCATGCTAGTCACTGCAGAGGCTAGTGCAGCAGAAGAACCCATCATCGGCTATAATGTCATCGAGGTGCTGTTGAAAAAGGGGCCTGAACAACCACCCCAAACCACAATACAGGCTGTGAGTGCTGCTTTCTCCATTAATAGTAAATGTGCCGAGAAGCTGACCAAATTAATTCAAATGAGTGACCCGCAGAGCAGTGATGGTATAGTGAAGCTGGGGCGTCAAAAAGTTACCATCCCACCTACCTTGACCAAAATTATTAAATGTGGCGTGAGGACCTCTGCTCTCCCTTGCCAGTAAGAGGCTCTCTTCATTCCCAATGAAAGTCCCCCCTGGCTGGATGCCTTGGAAATAGGATAAACTGTTGTTAGCCTCCAGAAAGGAACATGGTCAAGAGTCGCTATCCCTGTAACAAACAGAACAGAAAAGGACATAATTTTGCCACCACGAACTGTTCTTGGGCAGGACCAGCGGGTTAAAGCCATTTACCCAGTTGGAACCAAGCCTGTGGAGGAAACGACAAAAACTGAGGCTGAATCGGAGGTTAATCTCAGCTCCCAGCACATATCTACAATTGACTCAAAGGCTGGGGAGCAGACTGGGGAAGAGAAAAAGGAATTATGCGACCCACCTGTGTCACTCACCCATTTAACTCCACCCCAGCAGCTGAAAGTAAAAAAAAATGTTAAGAGAAGAGAGTGGGGCATTCTCCAAAGATGAATATGATGTGGGATGTATACCATCACTGCAGCTCTGCATTAGGTTAAATGATAACACCACAGTTCGACGAACATACACCTCTATACCAAAGCCTTTACATAAGGAGGTGAAGGAGTATTTGGAGGACTTGCTAAACTGGGGTTGGATACGGAAGTCAAAATCCAACTACTCTTCACCTATAGTGTGTGTGCGAAAAAAGGATGGGACTTTGCGTCTCTGTTGTGATTATCGGGAGCTAAATCAAAAGTCCATTCCCGACAGACATCCCATCTCGCGCATACAAGATATGCTCAACAGTTTACAAAGCAGTGCTTGGGTCTCTGTACTAGATCAAGACAAGGCATATCACCAGGGTTTGCTGGAAGAAAGCAGTTAATCCCTCACTGCATTTATTACACCCTGGGGCCTATATGAATGGGTGAGGATACCATTCGGTTTGTCTTCGGCCCCTTCAGAGTTCCAGAGAAGCATGGAGGAGTGTCTCTCAGGTTTGCGGGATGAAGTCTGCCTTCCATATCTAGACGACAACTTAGTGCACAGCAGAACTTTCGACGATCATCTCAGGGATATTCGTAAGGTGTTGCAACGCTATCAGCAGCACGGGGTGAAGTTAACAGCAAAAAAATGTGAACTGTTCAAAAACAAGGTGAGGTTTCTTGGGAAAATGATGGGCCACACCATGGATCCGGCCAAAATCGCACCTGTGCAAGCGTTAAAAGAAAAGAAGCCTGCCACAGTCGGAGAGCTGAGAAAGGTGCTGGGATTTATTTCATATTACAGGTCCTATATTGCCAATTTCTCAACCATAGCTAAGCCGTTATATAGTCTGTTGTCGCCTGGGAAGTCAACAGAAGAAAGAGCTGTGGAGACAAAAACAAAACAAAAAGTGGCCAAAAACAGCCAGAAACAAAATCAGCTCCCCTCTTACTATCCAATAACATGGACTGACAAACACCAGTCTGTTCTCTGCCAACTCATTGATTACCTGTCTAGTCCACCTGTCCTAGGCTACCAAGACTTTGATGCTCCATTTGTTCTTCACTGTGATGCCTCACAAGATGGGCTGGGGGCCATTCTCTATCAGAGACAAGAAGGGAGGTTAGTAGTCATAGCCTATGGCTCAAGAACTCTTTCAGCTGCCGAAAAGAATTACCATCTTCATTCTGGCAAGTTATAGTTTTTAGCTATGAAATGGGCAATCTGTGAGAGGTTCAGGGATTACCTATATTATGCCCCTTCATTTGTTGTATATACTGACAACAACCCCCTGACTTATGTCCTCACCACGGCTAAGTTAAATGCCATAACACACAGGTGGGTAGCTGAGTTAGCAGACTTCCAGTTCACAATAACATACAGACCTGGAAAAACAAATGCAGATGCTGATGGGTTGTCCAGGATGCCCCTGGACATGGAGAAGTATATGCAGACCTGCACCCAGAACGCTTTAGCTGAGGTAATTTCCAGTGTGCTGAAAGCATTGTCTGTAAAGAGAGATGGAAAGCCATGGTTGTGTCCAGCAGTCATTTCAACAGCACTTGCGGAAAGGGAACTTGAACAACATGCATTACCTGCATCACCGGTGGCGCGAATATCCAGTGAGGCCTTGAAAAAAGCTCAGGAGGGGGATCTGATGATCTCGAAGATCTTGCAGTATCTGAATACAAATCAGTGACCTAAGGTGAAAAACAGTGATGAGTACACAAAGGCATTATTGAGGGGGAGAAGCAAACTGTATTAGGATGAAAATGGTGTCCTATACCAAAAGACTGCTACGCGCTCACAGTTGGGACTGCCCAAAAGTTTCCATAATTTAGTTTTCCAACAGCTACACCAGGAAATGGG